AAAAAAAAAAAAAAAAAAAAAAACTCAATATTAGTTTATAAGTTTTCTTGGGTAGATTTTTAAATAAGTTCATTTAAATTTTTATCTTATCAACCAATTTCACCAAACACTTTTATCATATAAGCTAGTTTTTCAGCCATAAGTCATAAGCTATCAGCAATAAGCTCAAAATTCATTTGAAAGTTACAAACTAGCTTATCAGCTAGGTTTACCAAACATAGCTTATAACTTATTGATTAACTTATAAGATTCTTGTATTCAAATAAGTAGCTTGGTTTAGTAGACGAACTTTTTTAAAAAGCTCAAGTTTATCTCATAAGTTTTATTGGTAGTTTTTCATATAAACTCATTAATTTTTTTGGATAACTTATCAACTAAGTTTTCTAAACACTATTATCATATCATATACGTTAATTGTCATAAGTTATGAGCAATTAGCTCGAAATTTACTTAAAAATATAACCTAACTTGTCAGTTATGTTTATCAAACATAGTTTGATAACCATGATAACAATACGTAAATATTTGTATACTAGTACAACGCCGTGTATTACACGGGTGTGTGCTAATTTTTTTCTTAAAATATAAAATTAATGAGAAAAGTAGTTGAAAATCCAAATACCTTTTATAAAAATATATAATTAATGAGAAAAATAGTTGAAAAATACCTTTTATAAAATATATATTATTTATTTCATATATACAATATGGATGTCAAATCGAAGATCATCAAAAGATGATTAATTTGATATATTATATATGTAAACCGATAGGAAATACAAAAGCTATCAACTTTTAAAGTACATTTACAATTCAATAGCTAATTGAAGGAAACAAATAAAAGTCAGAGATACATTAGTCGCTTAGTAAAATATAAAGAATTAAAGGGTTGTATTAGTACAATTGATATTAAAATACTTAAGTTAGCTAAATAATATGTATAGAATGTCCAAACCTATATTATTATTTATTAATATATCAATATTATTTGTCCAAACCTAATTACGAAGCATGATTCTTCGCCAAGTAGGATTACGAAGCACAAAAAACAGCCACGTAGGCTCAGCGCATTCTGAAATTATATATAGGGAGGATTTAATATATCCATCACACACTATTTATATAATGTTAATTGGGTCAATGCCAATGTTTAAAGACTCGATAGTTAATATCATCATCCGTGAATTGTTGGGTGCCGAGAGCGTGCTTGTATACAAATATATCCGTTTAAAATAAGTTTTTTTTTGGTTAACTATTGTTAATTTTAAAAAAATAGTATGATTAGTTGTTAGTGTGATTTTAAATTTATACTAAAATTATATTTAAAATAAAATATTTAAAGTTGATTTGATATTAAAATAAGAGAGAGATGATATGGAGTGATAGTTATTTAAAATTACGTTAGTAAATGAGTAGTGAATTGATGTTGATGTGATATATAAAAATAATTAATTTATATTATTTAATTATATCGATAATATTTAATCACGGCCGAAGGATCGTGCCTCAAACTGCTTGGGTTGGCCCAAATCTGAACAGTGGCCTACTTATTTGGGCCTTAAACTGAAACACCGAAAAGTAACGTGCAGTGTCTCATATGAAGAAGAGTGGCTCCAAAAATTTCTGCGTAAATGCCGACGCGCTTTTTATCACACACCCACAGGCGCACGTTAGCGCCGCCTCCTTTACTAAAATCACACCAACCCGTTTTCATATCTGTATCTCTTCCCCATTATCACAAATTCACGTACAGCCTCTCTTTCACCCCAAATTCTTCACTGACCGATTAGGGTTAGGGTTTAGAC